AGGACAGGGGTCAGCGACCTCAGTGCTGGGACAAAAAATGGAATATGGAATTTTTTTTTTTTTTTTTTTTGTTCCTCGAATGCCTTCAGGACACTTTTGGCCAGGGGGAGAGGTATGAGGTTCGAACTCCAGCAACCTGAGGCTGTCAGCTTTGTGGAAGCAGCCACTTAAAGGCCTGAGCTAGGGCCAGGCCCCCTTGTTTAAACTTTAAAAACAGAATTCCTCCCTATCGCAAATTATCAACAAAAAGGATTTGAAACAAAAAGTCCATTCTGCAGAGACAAGGGCAATTGGGCTGTGAGTGTAGCTTGGTGGTAGAGTGCCTCCCTAGTGTGTGAGGACCTAGGTTTGCTCCCCAGCACGACAAAAACCACAATAAATTATTTTTCATAGTAGACCCTTTCTCAGTCAGGGTCCCTGTTAGAGTACAAATGAGAGCCTTGCCCAGACCTCCCACAGCAGTGCTTACATTGAACAATAAAGCAGGGATGGGTGTAAAACGTTCAACATGGATCATGGACAGGAGGTCTGGGAGATGGCCCTCACGGGAGCCCACGAAGAACAACCTGAAAGGTAAGAAACGTGTCAGCGGTCCCTATACTGAGCCACTTAGCCTCCTCACTCAAACAAATTATGCTCAGAATTGCAGGAAAAAAACAACAATCTCTCAGGCTCTGGGCATGCCCAGTCTATTACTCATAATATTCAGTCAGCCCTCTTCACCCACAGGTACCTCACCACTGCCCAGGAATGCCCTGACCCACTGTTATCCACTGATACCGCCCTCCACATTCGCACTTATCTCAGCTATCGATACCTCACCAACATCCCACAGATGCTGACCCTGCCATCACCCACTGGATCCTAATCTACCTCACCAGGGGTATTCCCACCCTGCTGTCCCACACACTGACAGTAACATAATGTATTCACAGTAACATGGAAGGTCCTCCAGAGGCTAGTGTGTAGTTCAGTTGCCTACCGTGTGCAAGGCCTGTTTTTTAATCCCCAGAATGGTAGAAAGAAGGAAGGAAAGGAGGGAGGGAGGGACAGAGGGATGGAGAGAGTGACGGAGGGTGGGAGGGAAAAAAAGAGCAGCCATATTTCTATTTTGTTTTATTTTTGTTTGTTTTGAGACAGGGTCTTGCTGTTATTCAGGCTGGACTTGAACTCACAGCAATCTTCCTACCTCAGCCTCAGAGTGGTAGGATTACAGATGTGTACCACCACTTGAGAAGAGAGGGAAGGGGAGGAGAGGGGAAAGAAGAAAGCTTCTAAAATATCAGATATCAACAGACTAAGCACTTGCTTAGGTAAGCGCGGGGGCCAGGATTTGATCCCTGGCACTGCATGCCACACCGACCCCGCCCCAGGCATGCTGAGCCAGTGATGGAGCCCGGGCATGGTGGCACACGCCTGTAATCCCAGCACTAGAGAGGCAGAAATAAGGAGGATTACTATGAGTCTGAGCTGCATTGTGAGATTCTGCACACACACACACACAAAAAAAAACCACTTAAAAAATAAATAAGGGGGGCTGGAGAGATGGCTCAGTGGTCTAAAGCACCTACTTAGAACAAGCTTAGCAAATCACAGGGACCGCGGTTCAATCCCCCAGCACCACATGCCAGCCAGCCCCGCCCCCTGGTGGGCTGAGCTGGCCGCACACACACCACACACTC